TGTGTGTGTGTGTGTGTGTGCCATTATGTCATAAGCCGATTTGGCTGTCATTAGCCTAGCTGGCTGGCACTGGCCTAGCGCAATAGTAAATAAATAATGCCAATAAATCAAGGTAATATTTTTTGAAAGATTTTTGGCCTCCGGAGGAGGAGCAGCCGGTGGCCCAACTTTAATGTGTCTTCAGCTTAAGAGCTTACAATTAGTGTCCGCTGGCATTCGTCGGTTGCCAAGAATTGGGCAGACAGATCACAAAAATCGATGCCGCAATCGATGCCATTTGCTTGCCAAATGCGACTCGCTTGAGAATTGAGCCCATAATAAGTTATGCAATATCATGGCCGTAATTCTTCTCTTTCCAGTTCAAGCTTCTCTTCTGGGATTAACTGTTCCATTAAGGGCCTCATAAATATATCTCATATGCAATTAATATTTATTTGCAGTTCTCGTTTAAATTGAACTGCATTTTATTCTTTTTATGTGCCCAGTTCTCTTGATGTGGTTCTACTTAAACCTTTCTCGTGCAATACATTTATATTTGGTTTATGTTTTATATTTCTTAGACTCAATTTAAAGCTGGCTCTATTGACTTGAGGCAACGTATTTCACATTAGCAGAAAATGTTAGAAATGTTGACAGTGGAATTAGGTTATTAGACAGAGCTTAGCAATGTTAATGCCCTCTAATAAACTAATTGCCCCTATAATACAAATATTTAATATAATAGAATTCTTAACGTAGTTAATAAAAGATAATCTTCTCAAAAGAGATCGGATTGCAAATCGGAAATCAATAGATTTTCAATAGATTTCAATTAAATGTGGCTGCAGACAGAGAGAAACGAGCCAGTCGCTATGTCAATTTAAATGATAAATATGTTAAACGAGGTAATTAACATTTTAATTTTATGAGCCCGTTCGGAGAGCAGCTTCCATTTGGTTTAATTAAGCGTGCTTGACTATAAATGAGTTATGCGGCATCTGAGAATCTGTGTGTATCTCTTTATTGACCCACTGGCGGAATCGGAATTAGATTATAAGATCTACGTCGAGTCGAAAAGCTTCCAGCTACGAGCTCTACGTGAGGCACCAGACAAGCCCCGACTAACTGTGACTAGCTGCCGATTAGCTCGGACGCTTTGGCATTGAAAAAAAAAGGTGATAAAGTCCACAGATAGCCCGCGTGACCCTACGGAGGGATCACAACAGCGGCCAAGATATAAAAGCCTCTGACTAATAGCTCATTGGGGCAATATTTGCATTATCCCAGGAATTGTGCAATTATTTCCGAGCAAAATAATATTTTATGAGAAATGCAAAAATATTTCATTTTACATGCCGCGCATTTCTCTCAATTGTATACCCTACAATTGGTTGAATTTGGAGAGGCTTACGAGTTGCCTTTCTATGTGACAGCCAGTCGAAGACCCGATCAACAGATTGCGCCCAGCTGCATCTCTGATTTAAGCAACTCTTGGAGCTAGAGGTAGGATATTCTTGATGGGGTTTTTGTATGCCACATTTGCCATTTTCATGAGATTTGACTTAACTTCCCGTTCTGACCTATCTTTTATTCAAAAACTATTTCTTATTTTTGATCTATGCTTAAAAATTTAAAACAGGATTATATTTGAAAAAATATTGTTCAAAGAAATGAGGTTAGGTTCGGCAGAGTTAGGTTAGCTTAGGTAAGGCTAAGGGAGGTTATGTTAGCTAAAGTCAAATTGGGTTGGGTTAGTTTATGTTAGCTTATCCTTGATTGGATCTATCTTGGTTTCTATCAAGGCAAATCAAATTGTGTTTGCTTATGTTTACCCTACAACAGGGTAGCTGCTAGTCGTGCAGTCTCGACCTGGCGCCTTATTGCACTCTGGCGCTGTGGCAGTTATGCAAACGGAATGCGTGCAAAGTAAACAGCAATAATAAAGCTGGCGGAACGAAACAAGTGCTCTGATTGAATGCCAACGAGGACAACAACAAGGACAACGACTCGCATATTAAATTCCTGCCAAGGGTCAGCAAAGGATGCGGAGGGGGGTTGTGGGGGGGGGGGCAGGCATAACTCACTTGGCTGACAGGTGAATTCATAAGTTCTTGACTTAAGCAGCTGGCCTTGGCAGCATATATATTATGTGGTGGGGGAGGAGGGGGGGGGGGGGGTGGTTGGGATCTGTGAGGCTTGCCTCAAGTGATAAGCAGATACTTGGCCCCCATTCATCCTCTGACAGCGTTAATAATCGATTTCTCAGGGAAATCCCCGCGTCAAACTGCGCGTATTGAGAACTTGAAGCTTTCATTTCTTGACAGATAGAGAAGCCTAGCTGATCTCTTAGTGATCTCTGCTTGTTTTAGGTTTGCAAATAAAATATACTCAAATATGGCCAGGATCCGACACGCGACCTTGGGCTTCACCTCGTCCAGATTGGCCTGCAGTCCGGCCATTTGCTAGTTTGGGCAATGTCTGCTTGCTTACATAGCTCTCCACTAGACTAGGCCAATATTAGTTCTATTACCTATCGTTGTCAAAAACAGAAACAGCTTGATTTAATCAAAATTATTAATAAGGCAATTAGATTAACCTATGGATATGAACCTAACTTCTGCCATTGCATTAGAAAATCTTGCTAAGGCACAAGCTAATTTGCATAGAAACCTTTAAGCTTCAGGTTTCATCATTAATTATTATGCAATTCTAGTCATTATTATAAAATATGATTATAAACAATTCTACAGTTTTGATTATATAATATTATAATTGTTACATTTATAAGTCGGCGTCTACAGCTCGTCTCATTCTTGAGATACTTTGTATGCCACATAAACTCGGCTCTTCATTCAGGCCAGTAATATATATTATTTAATATTTAAACTGTTTTTCAAGATGTGACTCATACTCAAAGGCTTAAGCGTTGCAAAAAGTTTCCCCATAAAGAAGTGCATTATAATTAGGTAGGCTTTTTTATTAATTTGCTATATATAGATGTGAACTGAATTAACGGGAATTTAAAGAGAACTCTTAACGTATTCCTCATAATGAGTCATATTTGCGGACCCTGAAATCAATGAATCGATCAGCAGAGGTTAAATTAATACTGTGTTAAATATAAATTATTTAAAAAGAAGAAGTTTATTTGTAACTAAAGGAAGTACTACATTTTCCAATTCAAATTCAAGCTGCGCTCCCTCAACTTCAAGTCCTTTGAACTATTCAGGCTTGAGTTATTCTTAATCCAACAAATGTATCTGAGCATTTGCCTAATGATTAATAACAAATTGAAGTCATATCATTAGACAAAGCTTCAGTTGCAAATTCGTTTTGATTGAAGCTGATTTGCATATCGAGGCGACAAGCGAGACAACATGGCCAGGCAATTGATCCCAGGCCAAGTCAATGGGGAGTCAATTAAAGGGCCACCATAACGGAAAGTGAAGAGCGTCGCCCTAAATGGTCACTGATCGACGCTTGTCAGTTATGCAGCGGGAGCAGAGCAGAGCAGAGCTCAGACAGGTTCAAAGTCAGTTTCAGTTTCAGGTTCGTTTTTGTGTTCTCTCGCTTTGTGTCGGGCCGCTTGGCCCAATTACAGGCCAGAAAGTGAAACCGATCGAGTGGCGATCTTTAAGGCAGGATCAGAGCGCGGCGATCGAGCGGCAATTTATGGGCCAAATTGGCTTGTTAACCAAATTGGCTGCTGCCGCAACACGTTTCATAATTGCCAGGCGTTCCAGCATTGAATAACTGACTCTTCTCCAGATGCTCCAGCTGCTGCTGCTGCTGGGTGGGCCACGTTCGAGTGGAATCTCTGCTTAAGATCAACACGTTTCAGGCTCAGGGTTAGTCACAGCACTCACAACACTCAAACGTAGCGTTCATTCGCACATTCGCTCATTCGCCCATTCATGCCAGTTGCCGAGGTTCAAGGTGAGGCATTCACTTCTAACGCACAGAAACTGAGAGGAACCTGTCCCCGTCCCCGCCCCCGCCCCCGTCTGTCCTTACCTCAAGTGGGTTGCTCAATTAATTAATGGAGCGACAACGAGATATTTATATCAAATATATGCTGCATGTATATTCAATTCAGACTTTTGTGATTTTAAGAAAGAAGTATCTTTGAGATACAAATTTATCTTTTGAGACACAATACTGACTAAACAATTTCTGAATTTATCGGTGTTCAAAAATATGTAAAGTTTCAAAAAGTATCTTTGAGATACAAATGTATCTTTGAGATACAAACTTCAACTTGAGATACAATGCTTACTAAACTATTTTTGTATCTAGCGTGAAATATGTTTATAGATATTTGAAGTTGTTGCGTTTGTTTCAAAAGAGATACAAATGTATCTTTAAGATATACAGCGCAACCAAACAATTTTTGCATTTAGTGTGAAATATGTTTATAGATATTTGAAATAGTTGCGTTTGTTTTAAAAAGTATCCTTAAGTAACAAATGTATCTTTGTATCTCATTTGTATCTTTGAGGTGCAATGATATCATTAAGATATAAATGTATCTTAGAGATAAAAATGTATTTTTGTGATGCATATTTATGAGATACAAATGTATCTTTGAGATGCGAAAAGCAACTACAGATATAATATGAAGTAAACATTTTCTGGATCAAATGTTCCAGTTTTTATGTGTATCTGTGCGCTGTATCTTTTCCGATTGTTATTTACAAAAAATTCCCCCAAATGCATGTTTACTCATGAACTAGTTCCGCGGAATCGCTGCGGCACAGTTATCGAATTAATTATCGTGAGTCGGAACTATGCGTGTGTTGAGTGCAATCAAAAGATTTTAATAGCGACCCACGCACCGTATGCTGCACTCTGGCAAATATTTAGCCACACACAAAGCCAAACACACACACGCACACACACACACACACACACACACACACACAGGGGAGCACCCAAAGATAAGCATGATGATTTTTTATGGGTTCTACAAAGAATTCGCCGACCTCGCTCTGCCGGCTGTCGGCGACAAAATGGGAACTCACCTCATCAGAGGCGGCGCCGGCATCCAAGTGATTATCGCAGTCCAAGCAGCGGGAATGGGCATGGGCATGGGGATGGCGCGGCACGCGCACTCTGTGCGTGGGCGTGGCTGTCGTGGAAGCTGAGCGCGATGATGGGAATCTCGGCCAGTTGCTGGGCCTGGGCGTTTCATAATCGATCAAATTGATATCGCTGCGGAAATAGTCGCGATTGTGTGCGTTATCGTTATCGTTATCGATATCGGTGTAGTAATCGTCATCGTCCTCGTTATCGTTATCGTTTCTGTTAACGTTTCTGTTATCGTTTCTGTTAACGTTTCTGTTATCGCGGTCCGCATACAGCTGCTTGGCCATGCCCAGGCTCAGCCTGTTGGCCAGAGATTGCCTGTGCTCCAGTTCTGGATCCGCCGCGTAAAGTTCGCTGCTCAGGAGCATCAGCAGCAGCAGTTGGGGCAGGATCAGCACGAGTTGCCACATTTTCGCCATTTTCATAAATTTATATTTGTATATCTTTAAACTGGAATTCTAGACTGGAGTCTGGCAATGTTTTATTTGTGTCTGTTGCTCGGCTAAAACATTTTTCAAATATCTCAATTATCCAATTTTTAACACATTTATTTTGTTGCTTTATTTATTTTGGGATGTAATTTGTGTATATATATTATTTTTTTGGCGCACGCCTCGCTTTTTGTCAGATCTTGCAATTCCCAAGTGGTTTTTTTTATTATGATTTTTGAAACAAGCAATTTATTTGCTGTCTGCTTTTAATTTATATTTATACCAGCTGTCAAATTTTTGGCATTTGTTAAACTTAACTAAATGCTAAAAATATTTTATGATCCATGCGTTCATTTTCTCGATCGCATCTTTTCACATTTTCTTAATCACTTTTTCACAGCTTCTGCGATTTTCACTCGAGTTTCGCACACTTGACTTCACTTTCGAATAATGTGAATTTAATAGAGATTTTTATTAATATTTCATTGAATTGACTTGTTAGTCGGGGACAAGCGCGCCGCAATGTGAACGATGTGAACGCGCCGGCAGTTCTCTTCTATCTGAGGGCACCCAAACGACAGCAGCAGCCGCAGCCGGACGCAGGCAGCATTCGAAGTCGGCAGTTGGCAGTCGGCAGCAAAAGCTCTCTTGCGCTCTTGAGCTGTGGCTCTCTCTCGCTGGCGCTACACACGATCGCTGCGTTGCGTGGGGGGCCGGTGTGTTTAAGCACAAGCATGCTTGTGCGCTTGTGCTTGTAGACAGTAGGTGTGCGCTCCAGCTGAGAGTGGGAGGACTCGCGCTCTCTTCCCGTCTGTCTGTCTGTCTGTCGGTCTGTCTTTGTGTGCGTGAATCATTGTTAATTATGGCTACTGCGGCTTTACTTTGTGCTGTTTCGTCTTCTTCTTTAACTGTATGCAAATGCAGAGCTGGCGCTCAAATGTGCAGCTTAGGACATGCGCTGCGTTTTCTTCCAGTCTGTCTTCCAGTGTGTCTGTGTGTGTGTGTGTGTGTGCTTGAATCATTTTTTCGGTCTTTGCCTTGTTTTTGTAAATGTATGCAAATGCAGAACAGGCGCTCAAATGCGCATGACTCACGTGCGCCCGAATTGTGCAGTGCATCATATTTATTTATAGTGATTGATACGCTGATCTCATCTCTCCCGCTCTCCCTCTCTCTCTCCCTCACTCTCGCTGACATTTCACCTAATAAAAGCGCACGCACTGGCGCAGCCGCTGTCTTTATCTAAAGGCGACAATTAAAGTGATTTATTTCGACGACTTCCAAGTATTTTGCTATGCAAATATGCAACGCCGGCGACATGCGTGACACACACATGCATACGCATGCAACACTGCTGCTTTTTATTTGTGCAATCTGATTAGCATGTGGGGTAGGCGGCAGCAACAACAACAACAACTAGAAAAGTCACAAATCTGCGCTGCAAGCTCTGTGCGCAGCCTTCGTTGTTTGACATGTGCTTGCGGCTATCTCTCTGTCCCACACACACACACACACACACACACGCGCACTCTCCCTCTCTTCCCTCGCTTCCTCTCACTCTCTTTAGACGCCATTTGAATGCTTTGCGCACACGAGAATCCATTATTGCCACACTCAACTATTCAATTGAGAACGCTTTTTTTTCTTTTTGCATTAATATAAACTAGATGCGTGTCACCAACTTGTTAATTATATTTATGCGACTTATTTATTACCCGCGTACTCTGTGCTAAGAGATAAACTTCCCAAAATACAGGCAATTTAAAGGAATTTCAAAGATATCAAAAATTATTGGATGAAAACTTTAAATGAAAAAGTTGCTTGGCACTTCCTGGGCTAATTTCTAGTAAAATATGATTTATATAAAACTGTTTTATGTCTAAAAAATCTTAATTGAAGCATAATTAACTCTTTTTAATTAGAAAATGATGAAATCGATAAATGAATCATTTTTCTTGCGTGGCATTTCTTATTTATATAAAAACGTATTCCCTTTGTTATCAGTTCTATAAATAAAAATTGGCAAATCTATATATATATGTATAAATATATATATATATATATATATTTAGCAGAAATATGTAGCTACTGCGAACTGGTAGAGTCTATAGCTATTAAATTCACATTTAAAGGCTAATTACAAATATCAGAGATAAGCCGGAGATCCGCTTATTCAGCAGCTGCCACTGAAAAGCCTCAGCTTCAGTTCATGGCTGTACGCATATATATATAAATATTTATACTATACATATTATACATACATACGATACTTGACATTATATGCTTGTAATTATGCACAGAGAAAAAAAGCTTAGAACAATTGCTCGGGCAGTAAATTTATCAGTCATAGAATTCATTTCTTGATATAAAACTTACAGATTTCAGAAAAAATAACAATTTCTATTGATTATGTATTCGTGTTCATATAGTTTAGGTATTTGAAAAACTAGAATTTCGTCTGTCGGTCCCTAAACTTCGTGTCGGACCCTTAAACTATCAGAAATGTTAAAATAATAATAATAATAATAATAATGAAAATATTAAAATTAAAAATAATGAGTATAATAATGATGATAAAAATAATATTAATGACAATAATAATAACAATAATAATGCCAATAATAATAATAATGATAATAATAATAATGATAATAATGACAATAATAATAATAATGATAATTTTGATAATAATAATAACAATATTAATAATATCTATATATCTATATATCTATCTATCTGTCTATATCTATATCTATCTATCTAATATATTATATATAAAATTGTCTAAATATTGATCGAATTTTCCGCAACTTGAAGTATTAAGATTCTGTTGTGCCTGGCCCCGGAATCACCCCTCTATATAGCTATGCATCTATCTATATATGAGGTGTCATTGATTTGGCTGAGTGTGTCTGGAGCTGTAGTTCCATCCACCAGATGGGTGCCAGTTAGTGGGGCGTGGATCTGTCAACGGGTTTGTTGTCGCCTCATTCTGCGGCGAGTCGCGAGTTGCGAGTCGCGCGGCAAGTTCTGCTCTGCTCGTATTTTATTTATGGCCTTTGGCTGCTTTGGCTAATAGCGCATAAATCTTATTAATGATCTTGTCAAGTGGCTGTTGAGGCACCCGAGCTAATACCCATACGCAGATGATGTCCGTCTCCCTGTCTCTCACTCTCTCTCTCTCTCTCTCTCTCTGTCTGTCTCTCTGTCTCTGTCGAGTCGCGTGTGCGCTGATGGACAACAGCTCTCAACGCTGCCAGTCAATCTGTCTGTCGGCAACCCTTTTCTCTGCTAAATTAACCAAGCCACAAAATTCTGACACTTTGTTGCGCCACACCAACCGCTCCCCGCCCCCCACTCCTCCCCCCTCACAGCTCCCATGGATTCATAACTTGTTGTGGGCGTGACATTTGCGCGAACCGAGGCAATCAACCAAAAATGCGTTCAGTCCGCGCCGCATATAACTACGCTTGCGTGTGGGGTATATTAACTGTGAAGGGAATTGGTATATTGATTGAATATATATAGGATCAAGAATATATATAGAATCAATTGCTGACTAATTGTAGCCGGCTCCAGCTGTTGCCCGATTGTCTTTCGCTGTATTGAAGCTGTTTTTGTTGCAGACAGTTCAGATATCGGAGTCTGCCACATCGCTTGACTATAGCATATAGCTGGCGTAGGCATAATTTGACAGAAATCAAGTTCTTAATTCCTTTTTAAAATATTTACATATATATCCTACTTTATAAGTCTTACTATGCTCTTCGCATATGCCCAAAGATTAGTCAACATCTATCATCTATATCACACCATATATAGCTGCATATAGAAAAATTTGATCAAAAAAAGCATTTTTTTTTTTGGGAAAATTCCTTTAGTTTTCCAAGATATTCTTTACTAAGATGTCAGCAAGAACTTACAATATGTTTAACTTCTCTTACATGCAAGCAATATCGGATTACTTTATCATAAAGCTAGAATCGGTCGAGAATTGAATATAGTATAGTGTGTAATTGTAGCATTTTCTACAGATGTGCAAGTGTATTAGATTTTCGTCAAGGTAAATCTAATTTTTGTTCCTTCTCGTTTTTCGTCTTTGTGTAGACCAAAAATATGCAGTTCGTAATATGACATAACTTGTAGACGCCCCCCTCCCACCGCAAGCCAGCTCTCCTCCCCTGTTCTGGGCAACTTATAGGTAGCAACGCCCACAGGCGGAAATTTTGCATGCGTCGCCAATAACTTTGGTTCCCGCTCACCGCCCGCCCACCCCGCACCCCCAAAGACAACTGCTGCATGCAACATCTCAATTTTTTGTAGACACAACAATTTTTTGCCTTCGGTTTTAAGTTGAATTTTTCCCTCTCCCATTTTCTAGTCAAAAGTAATTTCTCTCTTCTATTTTCTAGCTAGATGAATATTTTTCTCGCCCATTTTCCAGCCAGATTTAGTTTTTCTCTTGACTATTTTCTAGCCAGAAGTAATTTTTACCTCCCTATTTTCTAGCCAGAAGTAATTTTCCTCTTCCATTTTCTAGCCAGAAATTATTCTCCTCTCCCATATTCTAGCCAAAAGTTGATTTTCCCTCTCATTTTCTAGCCAGAATTAATTCCTCTCTCCCACTTTCTAGCCAGAATTAATTCCTCTTTCCCATTTTCTAGCCAGAAGTTATTTTTTTGTCCCATTTTCTAGCCAGAAGTAATTTTCCCTCACTCATTTTCTAGCCAAAATAAAATGCCCGCATTTTTCCAGTTGCCCCTTTTCGGCTTCTGGAGTCCGCTTACTATTATTTACTTTGATATTTTGTTGGGAGATCTTTCGCTCCGCATACGAGACGATAATTGGAGGCCGCTTTTGACAGCTCGTATCGTGTGTTTATTGGGCGTTTTATGCGATCCCCGGCTTACATTGATTAATGTGTTTCCCCTAATTGTTTGACATGCTTTTATGCATTAGTCACGCCTGCAACAGCATCAGATTCAGGCTCGATCATTTCAAAGATTGCTCCGAAAATCACTTTTTTTTAATGCTTCAATTTGTTGTGCCTGCATGTGTGTG